TCAACTGGCTCAGTTTAAAAATAAGTGTACCGATATAAAGCGAGTTTAAACGACAAATGGGAAAATGTTCCAAAATGCTCCGTTCTGTATTTTGTACTTTGTATAGAACCTTCATGAAACACCCTGAGCTCCCTATGAAGTTGTTCTGAAAATCCAGCACTAGATTACAGCCATCACTAACCAAAAGAGATATTACAGATTTACATTAATACCCATCACTCTGGCATTAAAATTGTTTCCTCCTTAAATCTTTCCATAAACTGTAAAATAGTTATTCTTAGTCACATTGCAAAAGCGGCACATTTATTTTAGAGTATACAATTAAGAATGTATGAGTGTAAGCACCAGAAAATCCCAACCATCACTATCAATGGATTATTAGAAATAAAAAAAACTTGCAAGATATTGGGTTGAACATTTAAGTGTTCATGAGTGCAGCAATATGTAATAAGGAGGAAATCTGGATAAAAAGTGCAAGACATAGGAAAAGAAAAAATAAGGTGTTGGTAGTGTAACGAGGAATAAGAAAAAGGCAGGGATAATTTTATTTAGGGAATAGTGACTTGAAAGGAACTGAACTTAAGTTCAAATTCATTACTGATCAATAGTGACTAAAAGTCTAGTAAAAGCAGCAAGGAGACCTGTGGCACCTTATAGACTAACAGACATATAGGAGCATGAGCTTTCGTGGGTGAATACCCACCTCTTCGGATGCATGTGAAAGTCTAGTGGAAGTCTGGTAACCTACTTTAAATGAGTTGGTGGTCTCCAGTTCCAAGTGGATAAATGTCCCCCTATCAAAAAAGCCCAGGACCATACTTATATTAATTGGGCATCCATGCTGGCTGTCTCAAAGAAGCCAAGGACCAAAATGGCACAAAGAATTAACACTAGAGGAAAACCAACAGTCTGGCAACATCTAATACAAGTAAGCATCATAAATAATGGTCTACTGAGTAACTCAAAGACTGGAGATACCAAAACTGGCTGTAAGAATCCAGCGAGAGGCACTCATGATAACAGTGCTCAGATGACTATATTATACACATAGCCTTCTGTTTTAGGAATTGGTCAAACTTAAAATTAATTTCCAGTGCGAATGATGTTCATTCCATTGATAATCTGGCAAGTTGTTTTCCATCTGCATTTTTATAAGATGTTCAAAGATGCAGAAATATTCAAGGTCAGACAGTGTTACTGTGCTTTCTAGACCACACAACTACATTATAGTGAAGATTTTTTGTTTGTTTGCAAAACTCAAGCTATTTTTGCAGTTCAGATGAACTGTGAAAGAGGGAATCAAGCATCTCAACATTCCATTTTGCGTATTTAAACTGTTCTAGTTTTCACCAGTGGATAGATCTTATGAGTGCTTAAAATGCAACTCCAAATTTTATTTATTTTATATTATATTATATATATATTTTCTTCTAAATTAGGGCTGTCGATTAATTGCAGTTAACTCACGCAATTTTTACATAACTGCACTCAAAAAACAAACAATGTAAAACTTTAGAGCCTAAGTCCATTTAGTCCTGCTTCCTTTTTAGCCAGTTGCTAAGACAAACATGTTTGTTTACATTTACGGGAGATAATGCTGCCTGCCTCTTATTTACAATGTCACCTGAAAGTGAGAACAGGTGTTCACATGGCACTTTTGTAGCTGCTGTTGCAAGGTATTTACATGCCAAATATGCTAAACATTCATATGCCCCTTTGTGCTTCTGCCACCGTTCCAGAAGACATGTTTCCATGCAGATGATGCTCATTAAAAAAAATAATGCATTAATTAAATTTGTGACTGAACACCTTGGGGGAGAGTTGTGTGTCTCCTGTTCTGTTTTACCAGCATTCTGTCACTTATTTCATGTTATAGCAGTCTTGGATGATGACCCAGCACATGTCCTTTTTAGGAACACTTCCACAGCAGATTTGACAAAACGCAAAGAAGGTACCAATGTGAGATTTTTAAGGATAGATACAGCATTTGACCCAAGGTATAAGAACTGAAGTGCCTTCCAAAATCTGAGAGGGATGAGGTGTGGCGTATGCTTTCAGATGTCTTAAAAGAGCAACCCTCCGATGCGGAACCAAAACCACCAAAAAAGAAAATCTACTATCTGCTGGTGGCATCTAACTCAGATGATGAAAATGAACATGCGTCGGTCCGCTCTGCTTTGGACTGTTATTGCACAGAACCCACCATCAGCATAGACGCATGTTGGAATGGTGGTTGAAGCATGAAAGGACATATGAATCTTTAGCACATCTGACACATAAATATCTTGCGACGTTGGCTACAACAGTGCCAGGTGAATGCCTGTTCTCACTTTGAGGTGACATTGTAAACAAGAAGCGGGCAGCATTATCTCCTGCAAATTGTAGCCAAACTTGTTTGTCTGAGCAAGAAGTAGGACTGAGGGGACTTGTAGGCTCTAAACTTTTACACTGTTTTATTTTTGAATGCAGTTATTTTTTGTACATAATTCTACATTTGTAAGTTCAACTTTCATGATAAAGAGATTGCACTACAGTACTTGTATTACGTGAATTGAAAAATACTACTTCTTTTGTTTTTTATAGAGCAAATATTTTAAATCAAAAATAAATATAAAGTGAGCACTGTACACTTTGTATTCTGTGTTGTAATTGAAATTAATATATTTGAAAAGATCCAAAAATATTTAAATAAATGGTATTCTATTATTGTTTAACAGCGTGATTAATCGCAATTAATTTTTTTAATCGCTTGACAACCCTATTCTAAATAGTATAAACGGTTAGACTAATAATCCAAAAAAATAATAGGGTAACTTGGTGTTTAGTTCTTTAAGTCTACAAATTTTACAAATTGGTTGAGACAGGCTTTTGAGAAAATAAATTCAAGTACAGCATTATGCCTCCACCTGTCTGCTACTACATGATTTTTGAAAAATGTTTGAAACAAGACACTATGGTCCCAATACTCCTTTCATATTTACAGTGGAATTGATAATTTACAGTGGGTTTATTACTGATGTACACCAATGTAATGAGATGACACTGATTAGGCCCTTAGAGCTTATTAATGGAGTAATTTGGATCAATCTTAATCGCCTCTACTTCTGAAGAGGCAATCTGTTTTCCTTTTAGATCTAATAATTTATACTGTCAGAGACACAAAACTGCCATCCTTTTGAAGGAGACTACCTTTGGACCAGTCAATGAAGCACCTAAGAGAAGCAATGTTGCTTCTCTGACCTAAGAACATAAGCTACAAAGACTAACAATTAAGCTCCGATCTCTCCATGGCAGTGGATAGTACTATTTTGAAGCTACTGAGTCAAATCTACATTTGATTTTTTGTTAATCTATTTAAAAAAAATACCATTCATTCAGTTATCTTGTTATAGATTAGAGAAATGTTGCATCTGCCAGTTTTGTTCCTTTTAGTATTACAGGTTTCCTTACTTTCACTCTTCTTTGGAAAATCTAATTTAGATACATAATGCAAGAAAACAAGAAAATCTAGCTTAGATGAGAAACAGCAAGTTTGTTTTGTTTCTTAATACTGAACATCTACACTGTTTTAAAACGATATAAATATAAAAAACAACATCTTCATTACTTCTGTGATCTTTTCTGGAGACCAGGGCCAGATCCCCAGCTGATGTAGACTGTCATAGCTCCACTGACTGACTTCAATAGAGTTATGATGATTTATACAAGTTAACTATCTGGAACGAAGAAAGGTACTAAAAAGCCAGTAGCAACTGCAGTTAACCATTACTATTAAAGACAAAACATTCTTCTGGGATGACTGCAAAGGTTCTACAGATTCTGGAAAAAGCATGGGGTAAAATATTGGCTTCCTTGAAGTGAATGGGAGTTTTGCTATTGACTTCAAGGGAGCCAGGATTTCACTCTTGGAACCTAGGAACAGCAAACTGGGTTCTTCACATTCCAGTGCAGCAACATAAGAACGGCCATACGGGTCAGATCAAAGGTCCATCTAGCCCAGTATCCTGTCTTCCGACAGTGGCCAATGCCAGGTGCGCCAGAGGAAATGAACAGAACAGGTAATCATCAAGTGATCCATTCCCTGTTGCCCATTCCCAGCTTCTGGCAAACAAAGACTAGGGACACCATCCCTGCCCATCCTGGTAGCCATTGATGGACCTATCATCCTCCATGAATTTATCTCGTTCTTTTTTGAACCCTAAATTCTTTTTTGAACTCTTTTACTGCAAGCATTTGCAAAGTAATCTAGGTAAACAAGTGTCTCTAAAGTCCATTAAAAAGGATCCAATAATTACAGATACTAGCAAGCAATGAATCTGAGATAATTTAATTCATCATCAGTTCTAGACTACACAGAGAGCTTGAAAACAGTATGAAAGTTTGTCTTTTTCAAAGGTTTATCTGTTTTTTGTGTCCGATTTTAACTGGGTATTATCTTTCCTCCCCCAAATATCTAATTCAATGTCATCTCTGAAGTACGTTGGAAATGTGAAAAAACAATATTGAGAGTTTTTAAAAGCTTGAAACAGCCTGCTTTAGTTTAGTTACCTGAAGTTGTGGGTTGCTTGGCAGTGTGATGAATGAAATCTGGTGTTCAAGAAGTAGTAGTATTTCTAGGGTCATATATATCATAGAAAGAGACACAGAGATGGTGGCCAGTAGGAAAGATAAAATAAAAGAGGAGTTAAAAATGATAAATATTTATGAAAAAAATGAGGGAAATAAAGAAAGGTGAGAACACAACTAGTGCTCTTTATTTGCTTCCTCCTTTTCCTATGTTATGTTCGGAGCCTTCAATACCTCTTTTTGGTCAAATATGTTTTCCAACTTTGATCAACAGTACCTAAAATGAGCATCATTTAAGTGAAATGTCACAAAAACACGCAGAAAGTAAAATATCATGTATGGTAAATGTGCTTTTTTATCAGTGCTCTCTTTACTGCAATACAGTACTACAATACATAGGTTTGTGATTTGATTCTCACATTTATAAACTGTACCTGTGTGGTAGAAGTAGTGTTCGGTGTGACTGATGATGGCGAGTCACTTGTTTTTGGCTCACCAGGAGACGCTGCTGAACCCTGGGATTCCTGGCTAGCAGGCTGATCTGGAGATAAAGCGTCACTGCTGTCTTCATCAAATGAGTAATCATCCAAAGCTTGGGGATAACTCTCTTGTCCAACTGCTAGGATGTTTACAAAAAATAAACTCTTTAGTTCAAAAGTCAGTATTTAGCTAGTTAGAGGAGCCATGAAATGTTGGAAATCAACTAGCATACTATTTTTGTATCTAAATGTTATTTTTAACACAATAAAAGCCATCTTAAAAGATATTCAAGGGTCCAAAAATTGGTTGCTCAATGGTGATGGTCTTCTAAGAAAGAATAAAAAGAACTGTATTCCATATATTTGAGCATTTAGTGGGATGTTCCCTTAAGATGGGAGGTGACTAAATAAGAATCATTTATGTAGCGTCAATTTTTAATTATTTTTAATAATGAAAAGATTCACTCATGTAAGACAGACATAGCCTTATACTCCAATCAACTGTACATTTAAAACTGAGTTTGAATAAAAATAGTATTACTTTGCTCAATTTAGTGCTGATAGGGCATAGGTATCTTTGAAGTTGACATAATACATAGCTAATTCACTTTTTTTTTTCCAACTAACCTTTAAAGTTAAGGTTCAAATTACTAATTTCTCATATTGCCTTACTGATAACAGATCCAAGTTGTAGATCTTCTACTTGCCTATAATTGCTTCTTTAACACTGGAGTCTACAGGAAGGATGTTCTTTTCCACCAGTTCCATAGGGCCAGGCCTCTGAGCAATCTTCTCATTCAGATCATCTGCCAGCCGAGCTCTCTTCAGTTTCATCTGAGTTGCCTGCAGTGAGGGTTCTGCAAATGTCTCTAAAAGAGATAAAACTTTTAATGATTCTGTTAACTATTTTGTCTCATATTAAGACCACCAAAATAGCATTTGATTTTCAAAGCCATACCTCCATGCATGTCGAAAACTTGGTCATACAGGCTCAACCAACCAACATAGTATTTAATAATAATTATTAATTTTATTATTAAATTATAGTAGTGCCTGGGGATCCCAAATCAACACCCCATTGTCTTAGGCACTCTGATCAAGGGACCCTGGCCCATCATCAATTTAGGATGCAATCTGTAGCTACAGAATCTACACAACATAAACAAGATGTGTAATATTTACTGTACACTACAACAGATGGACAGGATACCAAAATGCTGTTTATTAGTATAAGCAGCTATATAAATGGTGTTGACCTATTAGAGAGGCACCATCAGATTTAAATGTTTTATTACAAAAAAGTCCTTGTCTATGTTACTGAAATAATTAAAACAACTTACACAACTTCACAATTTATGATATGGTACTGGTTACTTTTGACATTTCTTTCACTAGGGAGAAGACTACACAATTTTGCATTTGATGATAGCCAGTTTCTTGTCAATTTCACTTGCAATTCTCTGGGTTATGTTTGAGTTGAAAACTCCAGAGGGTAATATTTATTTGCTTAAAACACTCCAGTGATATATCTTGTTTATTTGAAAAGATTTTCGTTATTAAAAAAATCCTCACTGATTCTATGAGCATATTTTTACAAAGCTAAAATTTGAATCAAATTTGACCCAAAAAACTCTCTTCAATTACTTTTGCCCCAATTCAGCAAGGAATTTAAACACCTATTTAACTTTAAGCACTTGAGTAGTCCCACTGAAGTCAATTTAAATTACACAATTGCTTACGCACTTTGCCGAATCAGGGCCTTTGTCACCAAAGTAAGACTATCAATTTATTCTTCTAGACTCATTAAGTAGGCTGAAGTGGAAAGAAAAAACCCATCGGGGACATTTTAAAGAATGCAGGCACTTCTTATTCTACAGTAATAATATCAGCATATATGGTAATCATGTGTGTGAAACCAAAAGTATGACACACAGAACTAGTATGATTCATAAATCTAAAAGCAGATCACATTAGTAAAAATGTATACATTATAGCAGCAATCTTCTAGTTAAGGGCGAGTTGGTATTTCTATTATAAACCCCAGTTTTCAGAATGTAACGTCTTGGCTGTTTCCCAATATACTGGGCAGAAACTTGATATGATTTTAGCCCCAATGACAGTTTTCCCAGAACAAATATGAATGAAATCCATTAAACTGTTGTTTTTCAACTTCAAAACAAATTTTTTGGAGCCTCTCTTGCCAAACTCAACTATAAAAGGCTTAATTTTAAAATGTAATTTTGAAGGTTGTTAGATGTTTGTTGCGTGCTAATTTTAATGACAAAATGCAGATGGCCTGTCAATATGAAGAATCCTGATCCGAGTGTAGTATCCCAAGTTCATGTTCTGAAAACTAAAAACAGCAGACTATTTCACCAAATGGAATACTGTTAATTCATTTTGGTTTTATTACTGCTGTTTGTACATACAATGGGATTTCAATATTAAAACATGCTAATGCAGTCCCATTCAAAAACTGATTTTATTATTTCTGAGTATTAAATTTACCTGAACAGCAAGGCAACAAAATGTGCAGAGATGAGCTCATTAATGGTTAATCTACTGTGGAAAACCTCCCTTAAAATTGTAAGATTGTTTCAGGGCTTCCTGGAAAGACTGCAACAATGTATACTGTATGTACAACTCTTAGGACTTGGTCCTGCCAGTGAAGGCAGGGGGCTGGACTCGATGACCTTTCGGGGTCCCTTCCAGTTCTATGAGATAGGAGATAGATAATACAGCAATTAACTTTATATGATACAACACAAGTTTTATTTAAGGGAAACTGTGGTTATAGCAGCATCCTCCTCACAGCTGAGAAGAGAGCAGTGGTCAGGAGTGTCTTCTCTGCTGTCCTATGGATTAAGGATAAAGATTCCTCCCCACTGGTTCAAGTCTCCATGGAGTACCAATTAGCTGAACTACAGATTGGCATGCAAAACAGTCCTGCACCTTAATAAGTACCTCTTAACAAAGCTTGATTCAGTAAGATAGCCCAAAACTAAAATAAACCGTTAGCCTGAAAAACAGGATACATGGGTTCCTACCTTCCAGAATATGCATTCTGACCAATTCTGATCGATCTGGTCTGCTGCGAATCTTGTGCTTCAGAAAATTTTCAGTCTTTAAAAAAAAAAAAAAGCATCATACTAATGCTAATAACTATAGAACAAAGCAATTTGTTCATTCACACAAACTTTTACGAGAACTGGATTTATGAATATATTGCTGCTTGGCTTATATTCCTGTAGCTGAGTATCACTGTTTTCTGTTGGGGGAGAGATTTAGTTTTTTGCATTGAAAATTCTTCCCTCTGAAGAAAGCCATTAAAGCTTTAGAATTTTTGCCAAGACTTTGCATTAAAGCTTAGGTTGTGGCTTTATGTTTGTGATTATTAAAGTATTTATATTGCACAGTAAGTATAGTTGGCAATTTACATTGCCTAGGATAAAACTTAGTTCCCCTTCCCCTGAATAGTTTACAAATAACAAGGATCCCATAAAATGACCCACCTTAAACAGACTCTCTGCCTAATACCCCACTCGATCCTCTTAACTACGACCCAAACACACAGAGCAAGAAAGGGAGATTGAAATCTAAATCTAATTGGTGTGATTGAACTGGGATTTGGGAAATGAAGCACACTGGTACAGACATAAAATGACTACAGTAACCAAGACAGAAATTGCCTTTGAACTGCTTTTAAAAGTCAATTTTTTTCTTTACTTGAAAGTTAGTGACATCCCTACTTCAAAGCAGCAGCCAGCACTAATGAGCAAATTGCTCCTGGCCCTTGTGTTGGTACATAGAGAGCCTTCTCTACACACATTAGTACATCCCGTGTAAGAACCAGAGACAGCTTAAGTGTCTGAGTCACAATCCCTGCATAAGCAACCCAGGAGCAATCCAGAGATACGCTATTCCATAATGCAGGTCCATGCCATATTACCACAGTTCAGACCTTTGCTATTAAAATCTGCTGTGCAAAGTAACATCCTTATTAATTTTCTTAAAAGAAACCCATCTCTTTGGAATAAGTTTGAAGATCTAGATGACTAGACTTCACAGTTTAAAGTTTGCCAGTTTTATGAAGTTATGGCACAATAACTGACTCTTACTGGATTGTGCAGAGTAATTCAGGCATAACTAACCTTGTCCTAGAGTCCAGATTATTATTAAAGTTTTTAAACTGTCTTTAATAAAAATTGTCAGCTGACCTACCAGTGTCTCTCTTATAAAGGATATGTATTAGGAGATGTCAATTTGTCCATTATCCTCCATATAAAAGTACGAGGAGGTGGACTGAAACAGTACTGTACATGGCAGTAGCTGTATCAATGGCCCCATCAATTTCTACATAATTTAAGGTTATTCTGAATGTGATCCAGATCAGTGGTGACTTCTTAAATCTGAAGACAGGCAGACTGAAAATAGATCTAAGGGCAATATTCTGCATTCCACATCTGTGGACGAATGTAAGGGGAGTGGAACTGCTATGATTCTGTGTAGTATGTAGCAACCCATGCACCACTGAGCTCTGTTCTTTGGTGTATCTCCATGGCAACCAGTGGGGAAGGGAGAATTAGCAAGAATTGGTGCAGGGGAAAGGTCAGTAAATTTTACAATACTTTTACCATGATCCAAAACTGGATCAATCTACAGAGAAAGCAGGCAGGCACTACAACTGTTATTGTAGTCCTAGAGCACAGAAATATCAGGATGGATAATATGATGGTGGCATTTTTTTCCTCTTGCCTGCATTAAGGCTTGTCCACAATGCAGTTTTAGCCACCAGACTACCTACACTGATACAGCTGCACTGGTGCCTAAAAACTTCAGCACAGACAAGGCCTCCTTGCACAAAACCTGCCATCTTTCTCTGCTGTCATTTTAACAGTGCTCTTCTTGGACTGGGGGGCAGACCTTGAGTAGAGTACCATCACATTTAAACCCCCAACCTGTCTGGGACTGGTGGAGAATTCAGAACACTCCCCTCAACACAAGAGATTTGCTACAAATGTTGCATTTCAATTTTAAGGATTCTTCCAGAATATTACCATAGACTATTTACAATGATAATAAAATGTCCCATGCAGTCTGAGAACTGCCTACCTCACATTACTGATCTATTTTTGTTTTTCATAAGTAATAAACTAGCTTTCTTTTTTCAGATATTAACAGTATGTTGATAGTTTTAAAAAAAGTATAAACTAGATCCCTTACCCTGGCTCGTTCCAAGCTCTTTCTCTGCTCATGGAATGCAGCTGGGCTTTTCAAAGCTGTGAGAAGAAAGAAAGAGTTAAACTGACAGGAAATGGTTTTCAAATGAAATGCTCTAATCAGTGTATTAGTTAAGGATAGGCATCTTGCACTCAAAACTACATCAGATGTGGGACTCCACTTTACTAGCCCAACATCTGACTCTTTCTATTTATTATTTGCTTGTATTTCCTGAAGGTTAAATTCATCCCTGTGCAGAAAGCTTAAGTGGGACTGAAGTATTGCATATTCTTTGTGCTGGCCCTCTGCACAGGGAGGCATTCCACTCTGAGATTATAGCTCATTGTTAAAATATGTACAGGTTAAGTCTTTCTCACATAGAAAATTACTGTAACTCACGGATATAACACAGGTATAGATTCTAAATTGGGATTTGTAGTTAAGCAAAGCAGTGGATCATCAAGGCAAAACAAACTCCACTTCTCATGCATATGCAGAGCACATTAGAATATTTTAAGGTACACTGTGATGCCCTAATAAATTCTAATATTTTATGTCACCCATGTCATATGCTGGTGTCCCCTAGCTATTTACCAATAAAGTGCTCTATGGTAGAATTTTATCAGCCACCATTCACAATACTGAAGCTGTCAATCTGTCCCACTACATTACCCTTCACTTATGATTTATTTTCTCTAATAATAAATACAGGAAAGATCAATGCACAAAACATTCAGACAGGTAAAGAAATGGTCTTTTACTAAGAACTGTCTGCACTAATTTGTTTTAAAACATTGTAAAAACACAAAATATTCAAAGGAAAGAACAGTTAAAATAGACTAGCACCATAATGTTGTGTTTCATTCTGAAGCAATTTTCAAGAAAATATAAACAAGGGAAAAAATCAAGGACACATTTGTATTTTTTAAAGTGCTATCGCCTCACTTTCCTGATGAAGTCTGTTGATTCCCAGACAGAAAAAGAAAGGTGCCTCCTTGGAGCCCACTCAACAGTGTAAGAAGTCTGCAACATTGTAGCTGAAAGCCCAGCTGTGCTTGAGAGAGAAGGTATTCCCTGACTTTCTGTGACCTCCCTAACTTCTGCAGGGCCCCTGCAGTTGCCCTGGGAGCCGACTGAGCAGCTCAGGTAGCCCCTGGGCCAGTTGCACTGGCTGCTGCTGGGGCAGTCTCAACCCCCCGCTCTCCAGAAGCAGGAGTTTGGGTGTGGGGGGTTCAGGGCTGGGGATTGCGGTGTGGGGTGGTGCTTACCTGCGGGGAGAAGGGGGCTCCCTGGAAGGGTGACAGGAACTCCCCTCCCTCAACTCCTGGCTCCACGTGCGGCCTCCGCACGCAGGCACTGCCGCTGTAGCTCCCATAGGCCGTGGTTCCCAGCCAATGGGAGCTTTAGAACCGGAGCTTGGGACAGAGTGGAGGCAGTGTGTGGAGCTAGGAGCTGGAGGTTGCCGCTTCCCAGGAGCCAGGTAGGAAACCTGCCCCAGCCCCACCAACCCTCTCCCCCCCCAGCACCCGTGGCACCCCCTCAGCCATGCCCCCCCAGCGACTGCCCCCCCCCAGTGCCATCCCACCCCCAAAGTTTTAGTCAGGGGTATACAGTAAAAGTCACGGACAGGTCATGGGACGTGAAATTTTGTTTACTGCCCGTGACCTGTCCATGACTTTTACTAAAAATACCCTTTACTAAAACGTAGCCTTACTGATAAGCCACTACTGTACTGAAAAGGCTAAGAGGATACTATAGTGAAGCAGTCTCAGGTGTGTTGGGTAACTGGAAACCTCTAAGAAGAGATTAGTTTCAAGAAGCCATGCAAGGAATTGTGACTTCAATGGTGAAGACTTGAATATTATTTATAATAATTGTAACTAATGCATTTTTGTAATTTTAAATTGGTATATTTGTTTATTGAATAAAGAATAATTTTTCTAATGGGGTCCATAATCTATGGAGTCCAGTCTTCTCTTACTAGACATTGTCAACTTCCACTGATTCTAAAAATGGACCAAGGTAAAGATGCTCAGGGGGATGGGGAGTGTTCAGTGCAACTAGGGATGGTGGTATCAAAGGTGGCTTTAATCTGTCTTTGCACTCCCCTGATCCTAGGGCTGCCTTCCACCCAGCTGGTCCCCTAGCATAAGTTAGAATAGCTATAAGCTGCTCTACCTTGTTCCAGTTGCTTATGTTCCCTAAAGAACGTTACGGCAGTCAGGGATAGCCAGGGCATAAAAACACCACAACCAGAGCCCTCTCCTTTTTCTTGGGGGATGGAGCGGTGGTGGTGTTGGAGCTGGAACAGCAGCTCTATGCCACTCACACCCTTTATGCATGGGATCTTCTGCTACTGAGTAAACTGACTTTAGGGTACCTTTGTGCTGGCACTAACCCTAAATAAGCAAAGTCAAGGGGAAAAGTGGACCTTAGGACCAAATATAGTTAGTTTACTTTAAAGTACTGAAATCATTTACAAAGAAGCCTTATATTTTTAAAAATACAATGTAGTAATTTCAGATACATATTACTGTAAATACAACTAACATAACTAAATTAACTGAGTTTTCAAACTGTACCTGATTAATAAACAGCATCTAAATTATCTACATTATCAATTTGTAACTAAATTAATAAACAGTAACTTTGTTTTAGACTATATCATAGAATTAGAGATGGAAATGACTTCCTAAGTCATTCAGTAAGCCTTATTTGTCCACTTGCTTTCATTGGTGTAATTCAATCATTTGCAGTGAAGTTACTCACAGTTTAAAATGTTGTAAAGAATAATTAGGCCCAGTATTTTCTATCATTGGTCTGCTCTTATTTCAAATGTTTCCAACTCTAGGGGGACGCTACCACAGTGGCTATTCTGTCTGCAGATTAATTTAGTTTACTGATTTTATCTTGTTTTTTAAATACCTCTTATTTAAATTAGCTATAATTTTCCTGTAGGTATTAAATGAATATCATCAAATGACAAAGTTATCATGACAGCTTTCCTTAGAAATTTTCATCTTCAATTATTTTATGTCTTGAAATATGATACAAGTTACTGTAAATAAAATTAGTCTTACGTGGCATGATGCCCTGGTCCACCAGCTGTTCTCTTGTCCGTCTTTGCTGCAGCCTAAGCTGAAGTACTGGCAAAAGAAAATAGCAATCATTAATTCACATGCTATGATACTCTCTCCTACTTAAAGCTGCAGAAAAGAACAATATAAATTCTAATTAAGAAGTCAAATATTTCAACTTTAGAAATATTTTGACTATGTTCATTCAGTAACAGACACAGGATATTGTATAATAGGCCTATAGGTTACTTTTTAAAATCTTTGGTAATATTACAATATTACAACTAAATAAGGACTGCAGAACGGATCTATTAGAGCATCAGACTTAGTTGCAATATCTAGTGCATAATGTTTAGTAAAGATACATCCTGAACTTCATGCGACTGCTCTACACATTTCAATTATTGGGACCTGTCTTGATACACTATGGATACTACCACTGCTCTAGCAGAGTGTGTCCTAATCATAGAAAGAAGATAATGTTAGGAATTCTTATAAGTTTCTATTATAGATAGTTTGACCCATCTAGACAATGTTTGTGCTGTAATGGGATTTCCTTTACAGTTACCTGCATATGAAACAAACAATCTGTGTGACAATCTGAAATCCTTGATCTTATCTAAACAGAACAATAACACTTTTAGTGTCCAAATAATGTAACTTCACTCCACTCTTATTTGAATGTGATTTGGCGGGGAAAAAACAACACTGATAGAATAATGGATTGGCTAACGTAGAAGTCCGAAATTATTTCTGGAATCCACACTTTGGGTGAGGACAAAGAACTACTGTCTTTATGAAAAACTGTAAATGGAGGGTCAGCCATCAAGGCACAAGTTTATTAACCCTCCTAGCTGACATTACTGCTATGATAAATGCAGTCTTAATTGAAAGATAAAATGCAGAACACGTAGATAATGGTTTGAAGGAAGAAAACATAAGCTGTGAAAGCACTAAGTTTAAATTCCAAGCAGGAACAGGAATAGGGGGGATAAAGATTTAATAAACTTTTAGAAACTTCAATGATATTACGAGAGAATACAGATTTACCATCTATTGGTATACTGCAGTTTTGGTTACATGTACCCTAAATGACATAACAGTTATACCTTTGATCTTTAGAAAGATTTCTCTAATTCTATCAAAGATCTATTGCCCATGCTGTCAAATGTAACAAAAGTGGATCTGGATGGTACATTTTCCCTTGCTGCTGTGACAGAAGGTCCAGTAACAGTGGAAGTACTTTGAAGTTTCCCTTTGAAAGAAGGAGTAAATCTGTGTACCACTGCTGTCTCCTGCACTTGAACAAAACAAACAGCATTTGGTGTTGAACCTTTTGGCAAATATCTGGAGTACCCCACAGAGCAAAAATGTCCCTGATTACAATTTCTTTCAAGAACCTTTCATTCATCTGGGAGGACACTCTGCTTAGTTGGTCCACTAACTGGTTGAGGGATCCTGCCATATAAACCTTGTGATGAATACACCACTCCCAAAGCTTTATTGCCTCTTTGCAAAGCTGCAAAGAGTGGGCTTCTCCCTGTTTGTTTATATAAGATATTGCTATCATGCTGTCTGTGGCCACCTGAACCCACACCCTTTCACTTCAGGGAGGAAAGATCTGAGTGCCAGTTGGATTGCTCCTGATCCATCCATCACAAGAGAGTTTTCTGGATTTTGTTTGGAATAGTAATTATTAGGTTCATGTGTCTTCAGGTTTGAAGTTTCTTGTCCCCCGCCCCCAGTGTAGAAGAAATCTCATCTTTAGTCTCGCATTGGGTGTAACATATGTGGTTGATGCCATGAGACCTAGAAGGGAGAGAAAGAACTTCGCTTTCTGAGATGGATTCTTGTCTTCTGGAAGGTAAGCCTTCACTGTTCTGGAGTCTAGAACTGCTCCTATGAAAGAGATACTCTGTGAAGGTATCAGTAGAGATGTCTTTTCATTGATCCAAAACCGCAAACTCTGAAACACGGAGCATGGTGAGGCCTCATCTGGAGTACTGTGTCCAGTTTTGGGCCCCACACTACAAGAAGGATGTGAAAATATTGGAAAGAGTCCAGCGGAGGGCAACAAAAATGATCAGGGGTCTGGAGCACATGACTTCTGAGGAGAGGCTGAGGGAACTGGGATTGTTTAGTCTCCAGAAGAAAAGAATGAGGGGGGATTTGATAGCTGCTTTCAACTACCTGACGGGGGGTTTCAAAGAGGATGGAGCTCGGCTGTTCTCAGTGGAGGCAGATGACAGAACAAGGAGCAGTGGTCTCAAGTTGCAGTGGGGGAGGTCTAGGTTGGATATTAGGAAACACTATTTCACTAGGAGGGTGGTGAAGCACTGGAATGCTTTACCTAGGGAGGTGGTGGAATCTCCTTCCTTGGAGGTTTTTAAGGCCCGGCTTGACAAAGCCCTGGCTGGGATGATTTAGTTGGGAATTGGTCCTGCTTTGAGCAGGGGGTTGGACTAGATGACCTCCTGAGGTTCCTTCCAACCCTGATATTCTATGATTCTATGTGAAATGAGTGTCCAGACATAGTTGCTGACAGATATTTTGAAATAAATTACCAAAATAATCGAAACTGGAGTGATTATATAGTGTTATTTATCTTAAAATATTGTGTACAGAATTTTTAATGTTTTGGCACTGAATCCCTTGGAGCCACTGAAATTTTCTTGCCCCCATGCAGAACTGAGGTAATTGCTGTTGAAGGAGATAGAAATAGAAACGCTGGAGTTGGCCAATATGACCACGGCATCCAGGGAGGTACTTGCCACTCATGATGTTTTGTCCAGTTCTGTACCATCTCAGTCATGAGAAAACGCATATTTGTGATAGTCTGTCTCCCAAAAATAGCTTGGAGGTTGAGGCTCCAGGTAAACTGTTGTATCCACCTCCTCTTCTGAATGTGAATTCAAGCCCGGATCTGACAAGGAACCAATTGGTGATACCACAGAGGTAGGAATCTGTAGTAGTGACAAGGGAGAGATAGTCTTTCTAGCACGTGTTCTGAGAGGTGGCAGCAGCATCACAGAAGATCCATGTGATGAAGACTCCGCCTTGTGGTTTTTTATTTTTTTGTGAGAAGAAGATTGTTGTGTCAGATCCTTATCCAAACCTCTCTTTTCTATTGGTGAAACTCAAAATGGATTTGATAAGTATAGTTCCACAAGTACCAGTGTGGAAACTACCTCAGAAGGTGTAAGTGCCAATGCAATATAGGGATTTATTGATTTCTCAGGTACTGACTGCAAAGTGCAATCTCAGTCTCCCGTCTGTCTTGGATTTGCACGTTCGCGATCTGAAGGATCCGATGAGTTTCCCAAATAGGAGACAATACCAGGCCCAGAAAGATGCTTGATCTTGGCTTTCTTTTTCCTTGGAATCGAAGGTCCCATTTCCTTAGAGACTTAGGCATAGAATGCCTATTGTCCAAGCCAGTTTCAGCTAGTGACAGTACCCTTTTTGAAAGTGAGTCTGAGATTTTTGTTGCTGACTGGTTAGTCTTCGATCTTCAGCTCAGAGCTGAAGCAGAAGACTAAGATGCAGAGGGCTTCTTGGAACCAAGAAGGTCCTAGGAGCAATCCAGGCTTCTTATTTCCATTCTCAGATCCAGAGATTTTAGCCAACAAGGCTTCCTATAGAAGAAGGCTTGGAGTCTGTTCTGCCTCTCCTTTCTAGCTCGCAGTGTAAATGTCCTGCATATAGTACACCAAGAAGGAGAGTGCCCCTCTCCTAAACATTTTAGGCATCAAGTATGGGTGTCAGATGCTGGAAAAACTGCAGGACAGTGCCTAAATGAGTGTTTCCGGTTCTTCAAATCCACCATGCAAATTACTAGTAACACCAAACTAACACTATGATAACTATCGATTTACAGAAAAAAACAAGGCACTTATCTAACTTGCTAAGGATTTTGAATCTCTCTTGTTATATATATCCAAAGATATATTGGAATTGGAAAAGGTTCAGAAAAGGGCAACAAAAATTATTAGGATATGGAACAGCTTCCATATGAGGAGAGATTAATAAGACTGGGACTTTCCAGCTTAGAAAAGAGATGACTAAGTGGGGACATGACTGGGGTCTATAAAATCATGACTGGTGTGCAGAAAGTAAATAAGGAAATTTCATTTACTCCTTCTCATAACACAAGAACTAGAGGGTCACCAAAGGAAATGAATAGGCAGCAGATTTAAAACAAACAAAAGGAAGTATTTCTTCACACAACGCACAGTCAACCGGTGGAACTCTTTGCCAGAGGATGTTGTGAAGGCCAAGACTATAACAGGGTTTGAAAAAGAACTAGATAAATTCATGGAGGATAGGTCCATCAATGGCTATTAGCCAGGATGGGCAGGGATGGTGTCTCTAGCCTCTGTTTGCCAGAAGCTGGGAATGGGTGACAGGGAATGGATCACTTGATGATTACTTGTTCCGTTCACTCCCTCTGGGGCACCTGGCATTGGCCAGTGTCGGAAGACAGGATACTGGGCTAGATGGACCTTTGATTTGACCCAGTATGTCCATTCTTATGTTGTGGTTGGAAACAACTGAGGTGGCAAGGTCTGCTGCACCTACTTTTTATAGTCCTGCCCTCAGAACACGCTTGAACTGGACACCATGTGGAACTGGAAGTAATCAATCAGGCAGCAAAGGAGACCAAAAAACCCCCAAACCCAGCAAATACGTACTGCAGGGGTTCTCAAACTTTTTCTTTCTGAGCCCCCCACCAACATACTATAAAAACTCCAGGGCCCAGCGGGGAGGGGGAAAGAGCTCAGGGCTTTAGGTCTGCAGGGATTGAGGCTTCAGCTGCCCGGGGGGGGGGCCTCAGGACTTCAGCCACAGGTGGGTTGGGGCTGCGCCGCAAGATGTGGGTGGTCGGGGCTCTGGGCAGGGGTGGGGTCTCAGGGCTTCTGACCCTTGGAGTGCTGGAGTTCCAGGCAGGAGTACCAGGGCTCAAGGCTTTAGACCCAGGGGTAGTGCTGGGGCTTGGGGCTTCAGAGCCACAGCTCTGTTCCTGGCTTCAGCCCCGCAAGGGATTCAGTCGCCGGAGCTTGGGGCATTAG